AGAACGAGCGGAACAGGTGTGTCCATCTCATCCAAATGGCTTCTCAGAATTTGGAGAAGATGCAGGAGAACTCCAGATACCAAGAGAACCAGATGAGGATCATGCACACCACCGCCACCAACTACGAAAAGTACGGATGATGTAATGGCTGGTATGGACCCTGCAGGGTTCTGCTTAAGACTTCCTGGCATTTGACTGGAAGTTTTATGCAGCAATTAGACATTTTCTGCACATAGCTTGTCCTGTGCTGCTGGTGTAACCCGAGTTCCTCTGAGATACGTCAGGTACTGGTCAGTTTCCATCCATATATGGCAGGAGGAACAGCACTTCCCCAGCGGAAAACTGGTGTTTTTCCCCTTTGCTGTGCAACACTGCCGACCAATGTCTCCCTTCTCTACCCCCTACTGTGGCCCCCACGCCCAGGCTGCTCCAGAAATCCCAGCTTAAGCACCGGCACAGCTGCACCATCCGTGACAGTCTGAGGGACGACATCTCTAAGGTGGCCTGTTCCCTGACCGCCATGAGTGAGCGGCGTGAGGAGCAGAAGCTAAGCATCGGCAGCCTCACTCAGACCATTGACCTCCACGAGCAGAGCCTGCTTCACCTGCAGAAGAGCCATGACCAAGCCAAGCAGAGCCGCAGGGAACGGTAGGGTGGCCACTGCCCATCTTGCCGGGCTTTGCCAAGGATTATGGGTATTTATTGGACCCCTGCAACATCATGTAGCCTGGTTACTTTTAGATAGATTACATTTCTACACTTTGTGAAAAGGCCAGGTCCGTGCGATTTTTAGGTGGACCTCTTCAGACTTGTCATGTGAGTCACACTGAATTCTGGGTAACTGCTATAAGCATTACCCATGATGCTCACTCTGCTTCACCTCTGACAGTGGCATCCAGCTGCTGGAAAGAGAGCAGGAGATTCACAGCTTGCAGAAGAAACTGAGCCTGCAGGACAGCCGATTACAGGAAGGCAACATGGAGGTGCAGAGCATGGAGGAAGAGATCCGCTTCCTGAATGTACATGTCAGGAAAGAGAAGAGGCAGATTAAACTGCTGTGGAAGCAGCTGCTCGACAAGAAGTCCCTGGAGGAACAGATCACAACACTACAAAAGCAGGTGAGAAGAGTCATACTGGAGACTGCATTATCACTGCCATTACTGCTATATTATCATGACTATTTTAACTTTTTTTTCTAGCCCAGATATAGGTGAAGCTACGGTATTTGGACGAGGTGGCAATAGATAAATCTGAAGATCGCTGTTGTTTGTGCTTGTTTCATGCATGTGTATATATTATGCAAATGAGATAGGCGTGTCTTGTCTACTCATTTACATTCATTTACAGTTTGAGTGAGTATTACAGTGCAATCTTTTCTGTGCAATGAAACACCTATATTCTCCATTTGCATTAAAGAGAGATAGTGTGTGTTCAAAGAAGCCTACCGTCATGTAACATCAGTGTCCTAGTCATGGAGGTAAGCACAGACACCTAGTCAGCTTATGACATCATCATTGTGACATCATCACGTCTTTGTGTCCGCCTGTGTGATGTAATGCAGACAGATTCTTCTCTATCTAGTGACCAGGTGTCACCTCATTTGTTAGTGCACCTAAATGCCGAACGCCTCACCGTGCCATAAATGTATGCTTTAAGCTGTATTTATCAGAGGTGTTAGTAAATATAGGGTCTTCCTGACACAGCGATTAATATGTAGCTTCTCGGAGCAGGCAGCAGACACTGACAAAAGCAGGAGCTCGTTCCGCTTTGCTGGCTTGTTCCCTCGGGCTACTTGATGGTGTGTCTGCCCAGCAGGATGGCATGCGTTGCCTCAGACTGAAGTTTACACTGCAGTTAAACATTTTTCTAAATATGCTTTTTAGATATGCATTTTTAAATACAACCCTCGGGAACGCCACATATAACGTGACACAATGTGTCCAGACTATGGATACCGTGCGGCCGGCTTTTATCCCCCTTGACAACCAGAACTTTACCATTTATAGCCAGGACTCTTTTGAAGAGAGCTGTCACAAAGTAATGCTATAAATTCCTGCCCTGAAATCAGGCGGCCCGTTTGCGTATGGCGCCATGTAAACAGTTAGATATTTTTTTTCCATAAATCCATCTTAAATGTTAAACATCTGTCTAAAAAGTTAAACATCTTACCCGCAGTTCGCCTTACTGCCCTCGTGTAATGGGCTGCCCTTACCCCATACACACCCTCTGGAGTCCCGTGTTGAGTCACAGCTCAACACGCCCCCACCTGCTTGGCTATGGGGTTGCAGGTAGTCTGATGAGGCGGAAGCTGGAATTCTGGGGTGCTGGCTGTAATGTAGGGTCATCTAAGGCAGGGTTTCTCAACCCGGTCCTCGGGGACCACCAGACGGTCCATGTTTTTGCTCTCTCCCAATTCCCTGCCAATTGGGAGAGAGCAAAAACATGGACCGTCTGGTGGTCCCCGAGGACTGGGTTGAGAAACCTTGATCTAAGGCATATAATAATTACTTTAGTGACACGGTTGGCTGTATAAAAAGGGCAGGCTGATATATCAGAGAGTCTGATAAGCAAGTAAATAGTCGAATGTGACATAATAGCCGTGAAGCTCTCCACAGAAAGTACAGTTGATAGCACTTATGTGCCTTAAACATTTCAAGGAAGCGGCTGACTGTGATCTGACCCTGGAGCTGTTGAGTCACACGCTGGGCCCCCCAAGGGCTGCTCTTCTGCTCGGAACCAGAGGTCAGCGAGGTCATCTGTCAGGCCAGGGTGACTCGGGACAGGCTACGTCTGTGGCTCTGTATCACACTCGCAGATAATATTTATGGCTGTGGAAAAGGGCCCTAACATCTCAGGAAAACATTTACACAGCACAAGAAACAGTGTTTCACTCCTGCTTTGTAATGATTAGCACTGTTTATCCAGGGAGAGTTAGTTGAAAAACAAAATAATTTCAACGTAACCCCTTTGTGTCTGTGTGTGTTCCTGCTGTCACGGCTGTTATGTGGGGGCTAGCAGAATTTTTCACACTCTATAAAGGCCGTATTCATGTCTGTTTTTGGAGAGAGTTCATCCAGAGCATGCCCACTTTCTCTGCATTGGATGGAAAAGTGCTTGGCACTCAGATCAATGCCTCTCCTCCTCACACAGCCTGGCTACTGACCCCGATTCTGGAAACAGTCCACCCTGGCAAAGCTGCGATAGTCCACTCTCCACAAAACCACACTTCGGCATGGATATTCAGCGGCCAGGGTCCAATTCCATACCCCTAGTTTGATACTATAACAGATCAAACATTTTCTGTGTTCTTTGATGCAGGAAAACAGACGTTGGATTGTGTGTGTGCATCCGTGATATTATTAGATGTTTGTGTCGGACAATATAAGTGTTTGCGTGAAATATCCCACCCTCCTGGGGAAGCTCATTGAACAATAACACCTGGTAGATTTATCTGTCTGCAATAAAACATGCATACGGTAGGTATGATGATTAATAATGAATTTAAATGTCTCCTGTAGAGGCATGAATACCAGAGTCGAGGACATTAATGGAGACCATCCAACACCCAGGACTCTCTGGTCCTGCTTGACTCTCAGCCTTGTGTCCTTCCTTGCTGCCCCCAGCTTCTGGAGTACAGAGACCGGGTGCAGGAGCTGGAGGAAGCCGTGGTAGACCCAGCCCAGGAGAACCGCATTCGGAGCCTGGTCGGGGAAGACCCCACGCCTGCAAAGCTGTCCAAGAAGATTGAGAAGGTCTGGATTATGATAAGGATGGTGATGATAATAGTCATTGTGGTCATGCTCCTTTGTAGGTTATTCACCTGAAAGCCTGCTTAATGTACTATGACCCAGTGTGAAGCAACGGTGGTTTCTTGTATAGACATTTTAAAGCTGCCTCTTTGGTTAGTTGGAGGAACATCTGGCAGAGCAGGAGAGTCAGCTGCTGGAGAAGGAGCTGCTGTACGAACAAGTAACCCGGCTCTGCGAGAGAATTCAGGCCAAAGCCGAGAACGGCAAGCAGGGCACGCTGGTTCTAGCCAAAAAGGTAGGGCCTCCTCTCCATACTCGTTAGCATCTCCATTGCAAAACACTTAGCATCATACGTGCACGTTCTCCCACTGAGTTGGACCCTCGCTCTCCCCGTAACAGGTAAATAAGGTGCAGGGGCATATCAAAGACACGACGCGGAAGATGATGGCGTTGCTGTCGGAGCTGTCCATGCAGCAAGCCACTGCCATGGCCCTGCAGCAGGAGCTGAAGAACAGGGAACACCATCTGGACTCCTGCTGCAGACGGCTGGAACAGGGCCTGCCTCCCTCGCCCGACATGGAGTTAGAGTGGCAGCGTGCCCAGAGCGATAAGCACCATCACAAGGCAGTCCTTCAGGAAAGGGCCAGGGTGAGGAGAAGCTCACAGGCCACACATGCAACGGAATAATGCATTTTTTATTAATTTTTTCAGTTAACAAGCAGAATGAATAGCTAGTAATCTCAAAAAGAATTCACAGTACTGTTGTCTTATCCTGAGACAAAGGTCAGATTGTCAGATGAATAAGGATGTTCTATTAACCAAAAGAAAGACATTCTACAGTACAACATTTTTTCACATATTACAGACAGTTACAACAACACGATCAATGTTATGCAGCTATGCTACTCAGATTACAAATTGAGTCATTGTGACATGCCAGGAAATACCCCACAGCTATGATCCTTATGGGGGCCTTCCTCTGAACTGTACCACCCCACGTTTCAGCTCTGAAATGTGCTCCCTGCCTTTTCACAGCTCATGGAAGAGGAGAAGAGGAACCAGCTCCCCGACGGCACATACACCACGGCTGAGCCACGGCCCAACTCCTACCTCCCCCAGGGGGCCGAGCTCCCCCTGCCTCGGCCCTATGGAGCCCTGGCCCCTTTCAAGCCCACTGAGCTGGGCAGCAACATGAGGCACATCCGCAAGCCTGAACCCAAGCCCATTGAGATATAGGCCCACCCACCCAAACGCCAACCACAACCAACACCCCTATCATGACCTAGAGCCACCCACTGGCAAAGAGCCACACCCACTCCTGTATTAAGTATGTATATACAATATATGATGAAGTATACACTTCTTCCAAAGGCATTGTGTTGTAATTTATTTCCCATGCTATGCCACTACACTTATTTTCCAGTCTCACCAATAACAATGTCAAGCGACGCTGGAAAGATCTTTTGCAAGGGATCTCAATTAGGAAGCCAAGACGAGCAGTCAGTATACACTCAGATGCTCACGAAGGGGGGCGAAGACAAATACCCCCAGAGAAGCCACTTGCGTTTTCATTGGCTTGGGAATAAATGCATTTGAAAAGTCCAGGAAGATCATGTTTTACAGCAGCACTCAGAGGCATTTTCCGCCAACTGAACATGGAGAACGAACACTTACAATAAACACGAGGCATGCTGAAATATGGTCGTAATAAGGCAGAAAGGATACTATTTAAAATAACGGCAAATTGCACAGAAATATTACGTCTTAGAAAAATCCCTTTTTTCCTAGTTTGTTATTGTAGAAGATGCATATTATGACTTCATGTGGGAAATCTAAATTTAGAAGGTATTTCTGGAGGACAGCATTGAACAACAAAGACAAACTGACTTCAATTGCACGCACAGATGATGAGAGTCAAGTGGTTTCTATGTAGCTGGTTCATACACAAAAGCTTTTGTTTCCATAGTTACACAATGATGCATCAACGGTACAGCCATCCATAGCTGGCATCTGGTTCCTAAGGTGTGTCACCACTACTGTGACCAGTGACCTAAGTGTTTTCCTGTGCTGGTGCCATTGCCTGGAGGCTTCATCTTCACTTGTCCTCCAAACCAAGTAGGATCATGGTCTGCTTCAGCGCAGTCTCCTCCACAAACTTGGCGTCCACATTCTCCTGCCCTTCAAATGGGTTCAGAGCTGCAAAGCACATTTACAGGCACTCAATAAACAAAGTGACATTTGGGAGGATGCTAAAGAAAATGCCGTTTACCTTGACTTTCTACATCGGAGAGAATCTTGGCCAAGTAGGCGAGAGGCAGGAATTCTGGGGAGCAGCTTGACTTCTCACTGTCCAGAAAAGTCGGGCCCTGGAAGTCGTCAAGCATTATTTTTCAGCTCTGTACCTCAAAGGCAAACATAATAAATTAATTTTAAAAAAGCAGAGTGTGGATGGCAACAATTGTTACTTTGGTCTTGCGTTTTTCAAGCAGTTCTTTGACGTAGCCCCTGGAAATGCTGGCAGATGTGATGGGATGGTCCCAGAGCTGACAGATCTTCTGCTCCATTGGCTGAAAGCAACACACTCAGGATGAGAAGTGGGTAACGTCCTTTCATAGTCATCGTAACCTAGTAATGGAAGATCTGGCCCCATCAGCGCCAGTTTAAGAAAAGGTCAATTGACCAGATGTTAAATTTACAAGGTATCTGGTATTCCTTATCCAAGAAACCCTGGCAAAGCACCCCCTCCCCCCATTTAAAGAAAAAAACAGTCCATTAATCTGGCATTTACAATTGCACAAAAGCATTAAGACACATGCTGTTTTATTCCAGGATTTGTTTGTTTGCCTTTGCTGTTGGACATGAAGCAGCTGTTAGAAACACATTACCTCTGGAAGTCTCTTCATGATGCAAAATTTCAATCTCTCGTTGTCAGGGCTGTTGTCGAGATCTGAAAAAACACATAAACAGAGCAGGAATTCGAATCAAATCGTTAGCTATTCCAGGTATAGCCCTACCCTTGCGTGTAAAACGGTTTACTGGAAGAAAATCAATACAGCCGTTCCCAAAAAACCCTCAATGAAAGTATATATAAGTATATATTTTTTCTGAGCTTAAATTAAAGAAGTAATCTTGGTCATAAATAATACCAACGGCATGCCAAAAAACTAAATACATATAGCCCTCTCGATCGCCACATTGCAGAAATCCATCCATCCAAGTATTTTCTGTAAGTGCTTATCCTATTCAGAGGCGAGGCTATGGGCACAAGGTAGGGAACAAACCAGGAGGGGGCGCCAACCTATCGCAGGGCACACTCACACGCCATTCACTCACAGATGCACACCTACGGGCAGTTCGGTGACTCCAATTAGCCTCAGGATGTTTTTGGACTGTGGGGGGAAACCAGAGCACCCGGAGGAATCCCCACAACGATATCCATTCATCCATCTTCTATACTCACTTGTCCTATGCAGGGTCGCAGGAATTTGAAGCCTACTCCAAAAACTGCAGGCACATGGCCGGGAATAACCCAAGACGGGACCACAACCCATCGCAGGGTATTACAGAAATATATACAGATCACATGTACCTTAGTGGGACGAGCGTGCGTTTGTGTAGAGAGAGGCCTACCTGTCATGAGGCGCGAGATGAAGGGCTCGGTCAGCTGCAGCAGGCCGTGGTCCACGTACTGCATGAAGGTGTAACGGGGGAGGCAGCGCATGCCCAGCACGCTCAGCAGGGTGTGGTATCCTGCAGCAGGACAGCCGCGCTTTACTGGGAAGCACTGAAACCAGCAAAATGCTGTTCCTTATACCGTCAAGTATAATGACATGCAAGTCAAAAATTAGAGGTGGATAGTTCATGTCCAGAAAGTTAAAATCCAGACCAAGATTTTGTTTCAACCAACCAGTTGAGTGACAATCAAAGAGTACTCAACTGGTTGGATAAAAGAAAATCTTGATCTGGATTTTTACTCTCTGGACCTGAATTGTCCACCTTTGGTTAAAAGTAAAAGAGAGACTGTACCATACAGACATGCCCGTTCTCACACACAGGTGGGAGGCTTGCTGTGGACCCATAGGATGCTCACCTATCAAGCTCCCAGTCTCTTTTCTGTATTTGCTCTTGGAAGTTATCATCACGTATTTTTCACCAGATGATTTCAGTGGAGGGGGGATGGGTGGTGATCTTACCTGGGGGGAGAGGCAGGCAGAGTCCAGCTGTGGACTCCAGGATGCGTGTCATCATATGGAAGACGCCCCACTCTGAGGCACTGCCCTGCTGTGCCCTGGGACAGAGACGCACAGAGAAGAATCACACAAAAGACCAGCCCGAGGGCAACCATGCACCCCCACCCACCCCCCAGCAGCTGGTCGTCACGCACTTACACCGACAGGACCACCAGTTCCAGCTTGTTTTTCCCCCATAAGGCTTCCAGAAGGTGCCTGACCAGCTTCAGCTAGGTGAGAAAGAGAGTTCAGGGGTCGACAAGGGTCATGTTGGAGACTCAGACTGAACCCTGACATCTCATTGGTTAAACCCCTGTAGGGCTGGGCTAAACAGGTGCAACGCAGATACACACTATTCTATTCTATTCCATCTCCACAGAAGTCAGAGGAAATGGGTGTTACTTTAGCGTGACGCCCACTTCCCATGGCCGTCTCCATATGCTCTTTACAGTCTGAACCATCTGCCCTGATTGCTGGGCCAATCGCTTCCCTTTGAAGGACCCAGCTGCGCTCACAGCACGACATCACAGATGCTCTCGTTTCATCCCCAGACATGAAGGATGTTACGCCGATTACACTCATGACACAGCATTCATTTGCTGCACTGAATATCATATTTATGATAAACACTAACAGGAGGCGACCTGGAGGGCATCAGAGGGTGAAAGTATGAGGTTAATATGCGTTTGTTTGCACTTTACGTACCTTTGCTGCTGTGCGAACAAAAATTTCGCTATAGGATTAATAAAGTTTATCTTATGACAATGAAAGAGTACTGACCAGCTTAGCCACATAGCTAACAACCAGCCTCTCGATGGGTTTCTTCCCTAGACGGGGTAAGTGGCGGTTCATGTGTTCTCTCAGTTTGTCCACCATCTAAAACGGCGACAGCAGAGATAAAACATCAGCGTGCCAACATGAAAAATAGGGTTCTTCCATTTTGAGTTTGACCGTTCTCAGGACTGAGAACCCTTGTTCTCAGTCCTAAGAAGAACTTCAGGACAAGCAATAATATATTGCTTACTGACTGGTGCCTCCATACAGTGGAAGTCAGTCCTACTGCAGATGAAGGTCCAGAATGTTAATTTACCAACATTGTGAAACAATTAGTACTAAAAACCTACCAGTCCTATCAGCGCCCTCTGCTGGTGATCTTCGTTGTGGACCAGAGGAACTACCTTCTTATCTGAGACACAGGAAACCATTTCATAATTCAGTAATAAATATGCTGTGTAGCCCCCCCCCCCCCCCATACTTAGTTACTCAGCTTAAGTGACTTGCAGTTTTTATTACTTAGTAGTTGTACATTCCAGTTAAGTATTTCCCCAATGACACAACAGCAGTGTTCTCCAGGGATTCAAACAGGAAATCGAGCTTCCTGCTGCTGTCGACATTAGAAAACCAAAAGGAACCGAAAGACTGTAGCCGGGCTTTGTCAGCGTGTGCCGTGCTAGAACGCCTATTCCGGAGGCAAGTCTCACCTAACTGCCAGGTGTCCACCAAAGATAAGACTCTGCGGGAGCAACGTGAGAGAGACGTGTGTTAAAAGCTGGAATTTCAACCAGAATTATAAATGCTGATCACCATGGTTACACACCCAGATATCACACTAAGTAGAGAACTTCTATGTTTTCTGATAAATGTCACCCTCTGGCATCACCATATAGCACGGAAGTACAATGACTAACAAGCTCTATCGGAGTTCGGTATATTTTACAGCAGTTGGTTGGAGGATCCGCTTCAGTGAACTGAAGTGATTACAGCAGTAACCCTGAACCACTGCGGCTCTTCTGCAGTGCCCTTCAACCTGTCAGCCGTCATCTCTGCACTTTCACTTCCTCATGCACGCCTCACGCCCCAAAAGACCTACTTTTTGGTGTTTTCCTCTATGTTTCGTAAAGGTTGTGAAGGCTTCTTCCCCTCCAGCCTCTGGGGGGAAAGAAAATATGAGAGAAACACCCAATGTCTCCACTTCCTCCTCTTGGTTTTCCCGTTAAAGAGGCGCGGCGTGCAGCCTTCCCATTTGTGACCTTTTCAGCAGCATCTAGCTTTTTAATGGACGGAAGGTAGGAGAAATGTTCTTGCAAAGCCTACAGCAGACACGGTCGGCAGAATAAAAGGGTGGAATCTATCTGTATGTAACAGGCCAGGTGTGCGACACCAGTACTACGGGTTCCCCTGTCCCTCACCAGCTCAGCCTGCAGCCCGGTCCACTCTGCCCACATTGCTGAGGTTCTGAACCGCGGGTTTGGGACAGCCTCAAAGTACTTCATCCTCTCTGTGTTCCACTGCAGCTCTTCCCAGTATCCCTGGAGATTCTGGGCCTTTCCGAACAGAACCACAAAAGGCAAGTTTAGGCTAGAACTCATAAAATTATGTTTCCAGTTTTATTCTGAATCTTTCTATTTGGTCTAAGAGTCAATAAAACAAGATTAAGATTAAACAGCCGTTCCATGGCAATGTATGAATTTTTAGAAAAGTTTAATAGCTACATCAAGGTCTAATTCAGGTAAACCTCACCTTTCCCCTAAACAAGGGTGGAGGAAGGAGGTCGGAGGTGAACCTCACCCCTGGAATGAGCTTCAGGCCATCAGACAGGTCCTGAAAGCATCCACTGCTTCAAATGGTGTTTGGGGCAAAATCACTGAGCAGGTATAAACAGACTCTGTGGGTGCTTGGTGCATGTAACCAAATGCTCTTTGTGGATTTCAATATCAAAAACTTATCCTGTTTTCCTCCCTGGGGCGAAGTCAAATTTCCATTTTTGTTAGATGTTTGTGTGATTTGAATATGACGTGTCACCCACAGACTTTACGAGGTCATGTGTTACTGCCACCAGTTTGTAGGTTACCTTGGAGTGACTGATTTCATCTATGAATATTATGCATGGTAATATCCAAATAAGGACATTAATGAAACAGTTACAAGGTAGGAGAACAAACATCAAACCCCTTCAGGCCAAGCCCTCACCTTCTTCTCAAACAGAGATGAATATGGCAGAACTTCCACGTTGTCCAGACTAGGAGACTGCTCGTATACTGTCCTGTACAGTGAGGCTGTTGTCGATAGTGCAGATGAGCAAAAAAAGACTTTACGATGATAATCAAGCAACGATGCCAGAGGAGGTCATTGGGATGCTCCGGTTGCTCACCCAACATGAACTCCTGGATCTGATCGAACGATTCGAGAGGCATCACACTCTCACAGATCCAGTCTACAACCTGTGTGGAACAATGAGCCAGTTGAGCAGACTGTGGCCCGTCATGGCTGGGCAGCGTACCAGAACCTGATTGGGTCTGCCAGAGGCTGCAATCACAAAGCAGCCATTCACAGATGACATGATTACCATCCTTTTTTTTTTTTTAATCCTGCCTCCAGACAGAAGCCCACACAGGGCTGACCCTCTGCTTGACCTCACCTGCCTTTCCATCTCAGGGTCGGGGCCCATGTATCCCAGCAGGCAGTGCAGCGCAGCCAACCGCTGAGCATCCGGGCCAGGCTGCCGTAGCAGCTGCAGTAGGACTGGACTGCTAAGGTCAGCCCAGTACATGCATCCTATGTGCGGGTCCAAAAAGGTGGCCCAGGGAAAGGTCAGAACCAGGCAGCCTGGGGACAGTGGACCCAACCTGGCACTGGCACCTGAAGGCCCAAAGTACATAGTTATAATGTGCCAGAACTTCCTGAGTCATGTGATCTACAGCCATATGCTCTATAAACATCAAGAATACACCAGACCAGGGAACAAATGGTATTATCACCCAAATTCCTCTGGTCAGAGTCCAGTCCTTGAGGGACAGATTTCATTAAACTCAACAGACACTTAATTTGCACCTAACTGACCTGGAATGTCAAGTGAGGTGACAAAATTCATATAATAACAGTAAGTAAAAAGTGGGGTTGAGCAAAAGCCAGCTCATCCAACACCTCTTGAGCCTCTTGAGGGTGTACTGATACGAGGTTATCTGTACCATGCATGGAACATCTGCTTGAAGAGGTGGGCCTGGGCACAGTTCAGTTGGACTCGGGCATGGTATGCATCCAGTGGCGCAGGAGGTAGTGCTATCGTTCGGCAACCAGAGAGTTGCAGGTTCGAGCCCTGGTTCCTCCTGACCCCCTCAAAGTGTCCTTGAGCAAGACACTGAACCCCAAATTGCTCCCGGTGTGCAGGTCGGCGCCTTTTATGGCAGCCTCCACCACCGGTGTATGGATGGGTGTGTGGATGTGAGGCATGAATTGTAAAGCACTTTGAGTACTCATAGGAGCAGAAAAGTGCTATATAAATGCAGTCCATTTACCATTTGATTGCTAACCATGTCCAAACACAGACATGACATCAGTGATGCGACTGGCACATGCATGTACACTATACACCTGGAAGGAATGGATCAGGTAGGCTGTACAGATCGGGTAGGCAGTACAGATCCGGTAGGCTGTACAGATCGGGTAGGCTGTACAGATTGGGTAGGCACAAATTAACAAACACTGCGGTAAAGGGATCACTTTGGTCTATGGCAGAGGACAATATTTATTGGAAATGTAGGCTGATGAGAGCACCCAGGAACAACTGGATGCAACAAAAAAATTCTGATATCTGGAAAAATACGAGACTATCCTTAAATATGCAGCACAACTGGATGCAAATTGTTGCATTGCATATTCGATAAATCTTTGAGGGCCATGTGTCATTGTACCCAAATATGTCACAAAATAAACAGGAAATGTTGCACAGTGGTGATAAAACTATGCTTGAGCCCAGAACTTTAAGTGCAATGCAGGGGCGTGGGGAGGAGGGACAGTTGTGCTTGGGTACGGTACAAAGCAACCGGGCCAAGTGTGGGTATACCCTTAAGTACCTACGGAGACACGATTAAGCTTTATATGCATCCTCTCCATTAATGATGTACAACCTCATTCTGTATGGAACAAAGACAAGGAAACATGCACCTTGAAATGGATAACAAATGACTTGGCCCCACCTGAGAGGAAGAGGCTGTAGCATGGTAGGTCTTGCTGCCTGGCATTGATCAGGTGCAGGAAGCAATCAGCCAAGTACACCACAATGTAGTATCCTGGGAGAAACATGGGTCTGCAATCAGTCAGTCAGACTACAGTCAAGGAATAAGTGCTTTTACTGACCACGCTGAACTGTAAGAGTGCTGGGAACAAGAGCCTGGAGACCTGAGCCTGGGAACCAGGATTGGGGACCAGAGCCTGGGAACCAAAGCCTACTTACCCAGTTGAAAGAAGAGTATTCTGGAGTTGAAGGTAAAGCCTTCTTCTCGGGCCACAGTGTAGGTCCTACTGTAGCCTATAAGAAGAGGAGTGCTAGCTCACATAGCACACTTGTGTATACCATTGCATCCCCTGACCTAGTACACACACGTTTCTATACACACTGATTCAGTATGACTTACAAGGCTGTGGATATGCTTGGGTTTATTATGGTACTACGACATATCATGGTATTTTGGACATATGAAATGGGTGATCCCCCTCCCCTCTGGCAATTTTTTAGGCAAGATTTCAAAATACCGGAATAGCGTTGCTTTTGCAAATGTCTCCAAAATATTGCAGGGGTATAATGTTTGGACATATGAATGATATGATGGTATCAGACACCAACCAAACCTAGCTCTGGAGATGCCAATATCCCAATAGGTTGTCCATTTCACAATAACCAAGACAGGAAATAGGTTTAAGGCACATATACAATCATAATATGCACCATCACTAATACCACAGGTACTGGATGATGCCAGTCACAAAAACCTCATCTTCGCATGCAAGGCAGATGCGTTAAATTATCACCTAATGAGAGAAATGGACTAAGCTACCACTGAGCTGCAGACACCATGGACCTCTGTGCACAAACATGATCATGTACGTAATGTCCTCATTACGAACCTCTGTGTACAAACGCTATCGTGTACGTAATGTCCTCGTTACGTACCTCTGTGCACAAACACGATCATGTACATAATGTCCTTGTTACGTACCTCTGTGCACAAACGTGATCATATATGTAATGTCCTCGTTACGTACCTCTGTGCACAAACACGATCGTGTATGAAATGTCCTCGTTACGTATCTCTGTGCACAAACACGATCGCGTACATAATGTCCTCGTTACGTACCTCTGTGCACAAACACGATCATGTACATAATGTCCTCGTTACGTACCTCTGTGCACAAACGCGATCATATATGTAATGTCCTCGTTNGTTACGTACCTCTGTGCACAAACACGATCATGTACATAATGTCCTCGTTACGTACCTCTGTGCACAAACGCGATCATATATGTAATGTCCTCGTTACGTACCTCTGTGCACAAACACGATTGTGTATGTAATGTCCTCGTTATGTATCTCTGTGCACAAACACGATCATGTACATAATGTCCTTGTTACGTACCTCTGTGCACAAACACGATCATATATGTAATGTCCTCGTTACGTACCTCTGTGCACAAACACGATTGTGTATGTAATGTCCTCGTTATGTATCTCTGTGCACAAACATGATCATGAACATAATGCCCTTGTTACGTACCTCTGTGCACAAATGCGATCGTGTACGTAATGTCCTCGTTAGCACAGAGATGCTGACTGTAGCACATGCACATGCTCCCTGTGGGAGGGGTTAAAGGCAGGATTAAATTCATGGCATTGTAAAAATGTGACGTTTCTGGAACCTCCCCCCCAGAAGGAAATCACAAGATGACTGAATATTGATAGCGCATCTCTTATTCCAGCATTTTATAAAATCAATATCTGGAATATTCAATCAAGTAATGCCCCGCCTGTCACTAAGTTACTAAAGATTTACTATGCATTTTCAGAATGGAGTTTCTATGCAGCCAACCCTCACCCAGTCCCCACCTAAAGAGGTGCACCAACTCTGCTAAAAAGCAATCATATGAATTAGAGCGAGAGTGAAAATGCTTGGATTCTGGAATCAGAATTCGTCAGTGAATGATCACGGCAGAAACAGCTTGTTGTGATTTCTATCTGCTCATCACTTTGATTGTGCTAAGCCACATGAGTGGCCATTTAGCATTAACACTTACTTTCTGGAAGGTTCATGAGCCAGGTTCAGTGAGTGTGTGAAGGATGTGAAAGTAAAACAAAAACAGTGAAACTGCGTTCAAATTAACATGCAACAGCTGACAGCGCCTCTTCCAAAGAAGAGCAGGGACAGCACTAACCTGTTTTACTCGTGAGCATGACCAAGTTCAACCCCTCATTTTCCACTTTGTCATCTTTGTAATAGTCACAGCCCAAGTTAACAAACCTAGAAGTCAGATACAGGCTACAATCTCAGAAAAGTCACAAGACCTGAACATAAATTCACACACAAAGTCAAAAGCCACGAAATCAAAATGCAGAAGAGTCTCTATAGTAACTTACACTTATGTATCCAAGATACATTTCTTTATGACTACATTAATTTTCAGCAAAGGAATCTGCTTCTTCAGATCGCACCTTTATGTTTTCCTCCATAATATTTCATAAAGCAAATGAACATTTGTTGAGCAACATTACCAGTAGCTAGATGACCATCCAACTGAATTTACCTCGTAGACATGAAGGGATTGGTAGCCAAGTCCACGGGGATCTCAAACTTAATAAAACATAAACCAAAATTTTGCATGAATGCCAACAACAAAAAGAGTTTGAAATTTTTTGTAGAAGCAAAATAGGCAAGACTCACCACAGTTTCACAATTGCAGTCAGGGTAAAACTGCAGACATTTCACTATGGGCCTTTCCTGAGTAAAAAAAAAAAAAAAGATAAAAAAATAATAATAAAGGATAAAAATAATAATGCAACATCAACAAAAAATGGAACAAACATTATGAATTAGGAGGAACCAGAAACTGTACAAAAAGAACAATGAACGTCTCTGCTTTTTAAAGGTCAGCGCTGATCTGAGCACTAAAATGGTTGGTTCATGCTTCTCCGCGCAAACGCAACGCTCGCGTATTCACTCTGCGTATGCGTACAGGGAAACGTTCATAGTTCTCCAGTCAAGTCGCATACTTCGCACATACACACAACATGTTGTATTTATATTTTAATTAATAATAATAATAATAATAAAATAATAATAATATGAATTATTATTTTGATATTCCCTGCACACATACCACAGCAATGAGGTTTGTGTCCGTTTCTCTATGATTTACAAATTCAGAGAGCTAGCTCACAGGGTTGCCAAATTTGGTCAGCTGGCTGGCGTGAGATTTTCAATTCAAGACAATTATGCACACGCATTTACATGTATGTAAGTTTTATTGCCTTTTAAGTAGTCTGTAGGGTCTTCAAACTACCCCAACGCTCATGGAAAGCATCCATGTTGGTATTTAAAGTGGACGCTAGTTAATCGATCATGCACAGTGTGCCCAGAGGTGCGCATACACCGCTGCGTGGACAGAAATTGGAGCGCATCAAGCGCTTGTCCGTGGAAGCACACAATGACATCAAACGTGTCATAATTCTGATTCTGATTCTGATAAGCATTCAAGCGGACACATTCATTAGTACACATGCAGAGAAGTATGAACCAGCCTTTAGTGTGTATGGATTTGTATACCCTGGAGGTGATGTAAAATAGTCTTTGTGTCTCTCCATCCCACTGCACCCAAAAGAGTTCCTCTGCAATCCTATCTTTTGCCAGACCTTCTGGGTTCAGAATCACCTGAAACAGGACATATCTATGGGATCATCAAAATTTCACAGGAAATTAACAATCTCAACACAAATCAGGTAGGGCTGCAAAATTCTGGGAATTTTCCCATCAATTCCCGTATATTCCTGTTAATTCCAATGGAAAGTTTCCAACATGGAATATTTCCAAAATTTGAACTTACCACTCTATAGCCCTCTAGTTTTGTCAGGGGGATATGGAACTGCTCAACATCTGGAAGATGGGAGAAGAGGAACCGTGCAAGCATAAGCATCTTTATAACCAACAGAGATGTCTTATATGCTATTTGCCCAGAAGCTCTGCATTAATGGGCTGGAGTATGTAGGTATTACAATGAAATATTTGCAAGTGACAAGAAACCACAGCAACAATGTCACTTACATCCATCTTCTACTATCAGCAACAGGTGGCTTTCAGTCACTAATCTCTTCCCAGGCTCAGGATACAGAAACTTGATGCAGAAATATTTTTAAAAATCATTTCTAAAGTATTGAAAGCACACTGATACATTATGACAGCTAATTAGTCTATGAGGTAAATGTTAAACACACAAGTCATATTCACACTCTGAGACAGTGCATTACAGATGTGATAATTCAAATTTTACAAGCTGGGTTATAAACATCAACTGACATATCTTGTGTCAAGTGATCAACAAGCGTGCATGACACAAAATGGCTTTCATTTTGCTGGGATTTATGCCACAAATTCCAGTACCTGCACTCTGACAGTGCAGTCGACAGCCTTCAAAACCTTGGTGTTGTTTATCGGCTGTATCTCAATGAGCAGTGTGAGAAACTTTGGCACTGAAAAACAGAAGAATGGGGGGGGGGCATTCAGGTTTATAAGTAATCGACACAGATCTGATCGCCTTGGCTGCACTACTTCAAAGATATGAAGTTCCACTGTGTGCCACACTGCAGTATTTACGGCATCGCCAGAGTAACAGGATGACAGTACGTACCAGGTCTCAAGTGACCCTCCTTCTTTGACCTCTGTGACAGACTGACGGCTGTAAAAAAAAAAAAAAAAAACATAGATTACTGTTATACCTCCCAGCATGTCTACTTATAAAACAGAAAATGACAACACTCTCGGCTGGTAGGCAATAAGAATCATCTTGAAATAAAACCAAACAGGGCTAGACAGATCCAGGTACAGCTGACTCAGAATCAGAATAATTTTACTAGCCCGAAGGAAACTGTTCATCCCCAGAGAAGGTGCCTACCCAGTAGAGTCTCCTCCTTGTTGAGTGAGCAGCTACTGACCAACACATCCTCATCAAAAACATAGAGAAGCTGACAAGAGACAAAAAAAGTGTTTTACTCTCATGCTCCGGGTCCTCATGGGAAAAACACCTATAGTCCTTCATCCCATACCTTATGCACCTTCGTGTTGAGATCATATTTCCCTATTCTAGTCGTCCCAGGCGTTTCCTGTTAGGAAAAGTGTACAACTCAAGAAAGAAGTTTGTGATAATGAAAGTCAAAGAACAGTTTTAAATGGACTGGGAAATGTTGACATACTTTCCAGGAATATAGGATGCCCCCATCTCTCTCAACGTTGTGAATTCTCCCATTTGTTTCTGCTACGTAAGGAGAGTCGAAACATTAAATCACAGGTCCAAATCAATTCACTACCTGCGTACTACGTAAAGGTCAGGATGCAGCCACAATTCACTTGTGACGGTTAAAATCTCTAAGTGCGTATTCCAAACTATATTCCCGATGTAATTTACATAATGTTATGCTGCCTAATTAGCAAATCGAAGACGAAAGTAAAACTTTTACTTTTGAAATAAGTATTGACTTAAGTACTTGCCTTTCACCTTTCCCGTTGAGTTGTCGTTTCTCAAAATATGCGAAAACACATCTTTCTGAAGATCGAAGGTTTTCTTTAAGTTAAGCATATGGGTTTATATATTGACCACAACTGCGTTGTCAGCAATACGGGAGCAAAAGAACGCTATGTGGATATGTCAGAAATAGATCGATTCACATGTAAGTACTATATGCAACATGGTAATGCAAGTAGTCCTTTTTTGATGCTCACTCGAATATTAATAGTGTAGGCTTTTCACGCAAGTGCAAAGGGCAAAGCGCTCCATAAGGAACCTCCCAGCTGCTCCTTCCTTCGCCCCAATTCAGTGTCCAGCAGGCGTTACACATTACAGGCTGGATTACCGAGGAGATCCCGCCTCTCTGAGATCTCCAGCAATCCGATTGGATGGTCCAGCCGTCACTCCAGGAGAACGGTATTTCTAATGCGGTTGCTACTTTTGTCACCTGACAGGAACGCAATGAAAGGTGTAGAAGCTGAGCAGAAACTTCCTGATATTCGGTCTTGAGTAAGTTTTATGTGAAAAAATTTGCAATATTTTAAAGATCATTCTTTTTTATATAATTACTTGGGAGACATTCAGATATATTATAACATGACACATAACATGCTGAAACAATTCGGGCTACTTACCAAGTTGAATGATACAGTTCTGGTGTAAAACATTTTAATATATACAGCATCCTAAAATATTTCAGCTGCTTCAGAAACTGTAAGCTTTTTTTCTTCTGCAAACATTCACTTGCACGTCGCTTATTCCTTTCCTCCACACGGTAGCGCTCATGATTTATGCTTCTTGGTTTGCTGCTCCGTGTAAGCGCGGCTCCCATTGTTTTCCTGACAGGAAGCAGCCGGGATCCCCATATCACAGAAATATGGTCCCAGCAAAAGGGTGTGTTATGAAGGTGAGCTGCATTTTTAAAACGGGAAGAGATTCAGGATAAGTGTCATGTTAAAAAAAGATATTACAGCTCATTAACCATTGCGTGAGGCGGTTATTTGCTACCTTTCCATTTATAAATATTACTGGCCTTCATCGCCGTAAAGAACTGAACAGCAATCGTTACTCTTTGAAATGTAGTAGTGATATAATAGTAAATTTAACAAATAATTTAAATTACGTTGTATTTCTCCAGAATATCTGTATTTATAAACCTACTTATAATGACGGCCGACAAACTGAGCAGTGCGTGTCAGTATGGTTTGATGATGCTATCATGTTAATTTACTTATTGACATGTTTAATATTGTATTAAAGTTTTTAATCCCTTAACATTTAAGAATACCAATCACACCATTAAACTGCGAACTTAGTACTGCTGCCATCCCGATAATATAATTTCTGTCAGTCTTACTGTAAAATTACCATTATTAGATTTATATGCTAGAGATGATGCCTTTCCCAGAAAATTCCTTTGTTCTCTTCACATATGCCAGTGTAAGTACCATTGAGGCTTTAGTACACAAACTCAGGCTAGCAGACTACTGGATTACTGACTGTCAGATATTTACTCTGAACAAAGGCAGGCCTCTTCACAGTCAGCATTTAGTTCTGTTGTCCAAAGGGAACAGATGCCTTTATTTTGCATTAACTCTGAGTCCAATGAAAAAGATACGAGGCTCCGGATCCTTAATCTTCTTTTCTGGCAGTGCTGATGTGCTTATGCAAATGTGCCTGACTCCCCCAGTATGTTGTAAACGATTTTCTTTAATTTTGGTCTCCTTTGATCTATTCGTTCATTGTGTCTGTTGCATCCGGGTTTCTCATAACCTTTGATGGACATGTACTGCCGTTTGCGGGTTGTTATTGCAACCAGAGGTCAGTGGGACTCTTTTTTTTTTTTGCTCTTGAAGGACCAGGTTAAGATGATGCACAAATAATAATAATCAAAAAAAAAAAAAAACAGATTGAGTCTGGCATTAATGTAACTTATGTGTCTATATCTGACAAAATTGCAAGGTGGGTCTGGTTTACGCGGGGATAGCTGTTTTGAATATGTTCCTCTGTAGTAATTCTCGGGCTTAAGAAAGCAACACATGTCATTTTATAAACCCCCGCAGCTGAGAGTTGGCCCCACCCGGAGTCTCCCTAAATGGGAACTCCACCCCCCCTGTGTGTGTATATAATCCCAGACCTAGCACCGGAACTACACCTCATCTCGCTATATTCAAGTGTGACATTGTGGGCTTAATTGCTAATTTGCCATATTAAAATATACTGATGCAAGTCCTTGGCTGCCTGTATCTTATACCCTTTGTGCTCTGTTTGTGGTGCTTAGAGATGCCTCTGTGGTTCCTTTCTTCCTAATTCTATCGCTTGCAAACTGATGAACGGCCGTGCCGTTGTACCGTTGCACTTCTGAACAAGTTACTTTAATACTTCGTTGAAATGTTTGGGAAAACATAGAAAAACTAGGATTGTACATCACTTTAGGGAAAAAATATGATCTGTTTAACAGATTACAAAATGGCTGCATAATAGAATAGGGACAGAAGGAACTTGTTAGGTCCAGTGCATCCAGAGCTGACAGTCGTAGCAGTGACCGCTTTGACGCTCTCCCTCAGGTGTCCCTGCGCCGTTCATCCCCTTAAAAAAACAGCACACGTTCAACCTCGCCTGAGCTCTGGCAGAAACGGCGAGACGGCTCTTTATTTATGAAGACGCGTCCCAGCAGACGAACTTTATGGCCACCACTTCTGCCAATACGCCCAGAAGCCCCAGCTTGCGTGTAATCCCACTGTGCACGGCGTCTGGCTTGGTCAGAGGCTACAGACACACGCACAGCCCGAGAGAAAGTGATGCCCGGCGGCAAGAGAATTAATCGTGCAACCCTGATGGTCAGCTCTTTTCGTTATTCGGCAAGATTACAATACTGCACAGGTACTTGGGAAGAGCAGATATTTATTTCCCAGTTTGCAGTCTTGGTGCTATTGAACTATTTTGCATCTCTGCCAGCTGGAGATTCTGGATTTATTTGTTTGTGTGCTGTTCCCAATTTGTAAAAACATAATTAGAGCCGGAAGAAGAAAATGGTAAAACATTAAAAGAGTGTTAACGAAATAGGCAGACGGCTTGCCCTGAAGCAGGCTTGGAATTTTGAAACACTGAGTCTCTGTATCTTTTCTTGTGACCCCAGAGAAGATATTCGAAGAATCCAAAATAGGTGATTGCACGCTACTACAGTTGAAGGCTTTTCCTAGGAATTATGTAAGTTATAATAAGGGTTTAAAAAAAATATAGTGACCTTCCAAGTACCTCCTGCAGCAGCCCAGAATTCAAAAGAACGGCTGGCGAATGTAAATGAAGAAAACACAAAGCAGAAAATTGGTTTAGATACGTCTACCCTGTGGAGGAATGTGGTCCGGACGTATGGTTGCATAATGTGTTTTTCCCAGAGTGCTGGTTGGTATGACGATGTAGACGGCAGGACAGGGCAGTGCTGTTTTTTTTTTCTCAGAGCGTGCCTCCCCTCCCCAGCAGAGCTGTTGAGACTTGTCTGAGAACATTCCGGAGCTCAGCTGCTCCATGCTCTGGTCCTGCCGCAGGGCCTACAGGGCCTGACACGTGCCGGGACTGGAATCCCCGTGCGATTTAGTGACTTACAGACACACAAGACAGACAGAGAAGTTCACACCTATGGCGTGTATGCATGTACGCACACTCAAACACACGTACAGTGGCAGACTGACACGAGTATTTGAGCGTGTACATGCAAACCTTCAAATTTAATAATTGACATTTTTTGTACAAAATACTTCTTACATTTTATGGTAGGATCTAAGATGGGACAGAGTAGGGTCTGCATTTAAGTTTTACATTTATATCAACCTTATCAAAAAAAATCCAAAGATTTTGAAGAACCATATAGTAAAAGTCAGGCAAAATTGAAATAAATAGTTCTTCTTCTGCTTTAAATTGAAAACTACTTAAGCTAGAGGTTAGACATTTATATTTACTAATCCTGATCAGGGCGCTCTAGAGCTGTTCTGGCAACTAGCCCGCAGGTGGAGGTAGGTTTTAAAATTGTTCAGGGTGCATCCTTACTGCAAGTCATATACCGCAGCTTTGACGACCTGTCAGGTGCCTGTGAGCCAGTCATTTGTCGCTAGCTGTGGGAGCTGTGCCACTTAGCGCTCGGTGTGACTCGCAGCATGAAACCACAGCAGAGCGACAGGATTTTGAATTGCAGGAACACATGCTAACTGTCATCGGCTTCCTGGGAGTCCGTGTAGTCAGCTGAATGCCAGACATGATCTTTGGGAGAGAATCTTGAAGATTAAAAAACAAAATATGGAAGCTGACATATAGATATATGGATCCAAATCCTTGTTATTGAAATCCTGTCAGCCTCCGCTTCCTCTTGTTGTACTTTTTTTTCCCTCAGGTGCCTCTGGAATGGGAGTTTATGATGGAAATGTCAGATGACGCTCCAAGTATTATGTGAAGCATATGGAGATTCAGCGAAAAGAACATGGATGGACGGATCAAGTTTGGCTCGACACCTGACTTAATAAAGAGCAACACAGAGTATAAGATGAGAAATAATTTATTGATAACAGAGAGAAATACTCTTGCAAACAGCAGCAAATGCATAGATACATACCAGATACAGTGCAAAGACAGTACACATCATCATGCATCATTCGTACTCTCTACATCACTTTTAGGTTAAAAAATATAGCAATATTCTATTAAAAATCTATATACTGAAACAATCCCTTCCAGGTTGTAATCTGCCCTGGGGCTCTAGGCTAGGGGTCCCCAACCTTTTGATGTTTGCAGACCAGTTAACAGCTGTGTGTCTGGAGATCATTTCCATTTTTTCAGATGTGAATAGATCACGCAAAGGGGTCTGAGAAATTGAAACATTTATCGTTTATTTTTGGAAATTAACCAACCCCTCCCCAAAACACCCAGCACTCCGTGACCCAGTGGATTACTGTCCTCAGACTGGTATTGCTCCACAGACCAAGCATTGGGAATCCCTACACGAGGCTTCCATCTTTCATTTCAGTGGCCCTTTCACCCTGACCAAGATAGGCAGTTAAAAAATGGATGGATTGATGGATGGATATATATATAAAAATATACGAAAACACAACTTTTCAAATCGGGCGGTCGATTCCAAATCCAGGCCTTGTTTTCCGTTCTCCCAGGTAGTTAGTTTAATAATTACTGATTCGCCACAGAGATGTTACACCCGGCTCACGATTAAGGAAAGGCTGAAAAATCATCAGTGCTCAGACCTTGAGGACCGTGACTTGAATAGCCCCGTACTAAAACAATTAGCACATATATTTGATGGTGTGCCTTGTGTGT